TTTACCAGTTCATCATCCCCCGGCGCCTCATCCACCAACAGTTCCCACAATTGCGCAAAAGACTGACGACATTCCTCACCCGTCAAAAGCTTCACATTTAACTTCCAATAACCTTGACCCCTTCTAGGCAATCCCTCCCATTCTAGGTCCACCATTACTCCTCTGTGATCCGAAAAAAACGTCCACCACATGCACTCTGCTCACTATTACTGTTCGGGACATGTACAAGCGATCCAGTCTAGCCGCATATCCACGTCTAACAAAAGTATGTTCTACAACCCCACCCCCCCAACGTCCATTAACCCCACTCCATTTAATAATTCCCCCCAAATCCCCGAACAATACCCTGCCCCTCTAGGTTCCACATCCTTATGCCTTATCACACAATTCCAATCACCACCAATTACAGCTACACCCGGCAAAGCACGCAAATAATATACTAGGATATCCTTCACAAATTTATTCTTAATACGCACATCTCCCTCTGCCGGACCATACACACACCAAACTCATCTGTACCCTACCCCACCACCCATCTACATGAATCACCCTCCCCTCCCCACCCTCACAATGCCTCACTACAAACGGGCTAGTTTCCCTTACCAGGATGGCAACTCCTCCTTTCAACCTTATCGCATGCTCCACATACACATTATACCCATTCACCTTCAACTCATAGCCTGGTCTGTAGTTGTGTTCCTGCATGAACACCACATCAACACTATTATGCACCAAATATTCACTAAACCATACACACTCTCTCTCTGATCTCAATCCATTAATGTTCAATGTCATGCACTTGAAGCTTACAGAGTGGTTTTCCTTCTTGACCCTGGTACTGTCTTGCCACCAGATCATTTCGTGACACCTCGGTCCCTCTCCCCCCCTTTAGAAACGCTCTTAACCAACTCCTGCCCCTTAGGGCCACTGTGTCCTCTCTGCATAACTTCCACCCAGGACTTTTTGCCAGTGCGCTGAGCAGGCGTGATCACATCCTCGGAGTCAGATAGCGCAGCAGCGCGCTTCCATGATGCTCCCTCTGCTTGCATCATGTCGTCTGTTACATTGTCCCGGTAGACCTCCACCTCCACCGCTTGCATCAAAACATTCTTATCACACTGCGCAGATCACAGATCCTGTTCCATTCCCTGATCCACAGCAGACCCAAGAACTAGGTCTGGACTCCTAACCTTCCGAATACTCTTGTCAGCCAATAACACATTTAAAGCCATGCCTGAGCTGCGTTCAATGAAGGGGTGTCCCCCCCCTCGTCACACCTGCTGACTGTTGTGATAGAAACACAGGCCTTATCTCTAGGCTTTATTGAACTTAGAATCTTCATAGTACTTCTGCAACAACAAAATATAATGACTAGTACATCTAATAACGGCTTCTACAGGGATGGTGATGTCTTGCATATGTCAAGAGAAAAGTTATAACTACAGGCCACATATTTAAACTCACCATGTAATCTGCATCACTAATATAGGGATAGTAGAAGAGAAGAGAATCACACACCATGTGTTGGCGCCCATGACACACACCAAACTGTTGTTGTTGTTAAGGGCCCCGAGAGGTGGTGCAGTATTATCCTGCTGCTGCTCCCCACAGGAGCAGTATCACTACACTGACTCCATCTCCTCCGCTCTCTCGACCTCCTCACTCTAGGACCCACCTTGTGTAGGCAGAGTCACATAAGGCAAATCTTGCTCCTCACCCTTCTCTACTGCTGTATGTCATTGCCGTTGTTCCATGTAGCCATGCCTCCTTCCACACAGAGCCACTAGGTGATCATATGACCCACACAGCTGACAGGTCCGGCGTTGCCCAGCGTATGTCACAAACACCTGGGTCCGAAATTCTGGCAGCACTACGTACGACGGAATAGGGTAACGTAATGTCATCTTCACAGAATACGTTCCTCCGGGTATCCCTGCATATGGCCCAGTAGCCCACTTCCCAACAGTGGCCATATGTACTGTGCCATATTTGCCCATCGCAAGACGGATGTCAGAATCCTCAGCCTCGAATGGCACATTTCTAATCTTAACCCATGTGTAATGGCGAGAAACGTTGTGAAGTCGCAGGGTCACAGTCACAGCGGAGTTAACTGTCAAAGTAACCTTCTGGTACTTGTCTACCACCGCCTCATACACACTTGCAGGGCCGGATTAAGAAGTCTCCGGGCCCTAGGCTATTCAGATTGGCGGGGCCCCTTTGAGTTACGGGTAAGCGAAGTGACCCCTTCCAGCTTGGGGGTGGAGGGGGTCGGTGTGAGCCTGTTTAAGGTCTAATTAAATACATTCTGGCTATTTAGATTAAATTTAATAGGGAAAGTACATCAAGGCAACCAAAACCATTTACCAACAGCCATTATAACTATCTTGTTAAATCATGCATTTTAAAGAGAATAAACTAAAGACAGCATAGTATTACTAGATTAGGCTATTAAAGTAGTGACATCATGTACCTATTATATTCAGCATAACCACTACAGCACTATTATTCCCTTTATAAATCACTGACCATTATTGTTATCATTGCATCATGCATAAGACTATCAAATCATATAAACTACAGAAAATTGGAGAGGAATCTCCCATACTCACCCATTAGTGGGAAAACACAGCTGTTCTGATGTAAACAAAGGCATGTTGAGTGTTGCCATCTATGGTTAGGTTTATTTATTTTTATTTTATTTTATTTCATTATTTATTTTTGTTTTGATTAATTTTTAAAAATCAATTTTACTCTCCAAACACTTGAACTTTTTAGGTAGGGACCCCTTTGCACTTGCACCATGTGCACAGTCTTGGATGAGCCCCTGAACCCCTTGGACCGCGGGGCCCCCAAATGCGCGGGGCCCTAGGCAAATGCCTAGTTTGCCTATGCGGTAATCCGGCCCTGCACACTTGCCAAGTTAAACTTGACAAAGATCCTCGTCGTGTCATTCAGCGCTACTCCACATATCTCCTCGTTAGCAATACCATATGTATCTCGTATGATTGCAGGTAGTAGCAGGTCCATAGAAGTTCCTGTCACAGCCCCACGGATAAGCTCGACACAGACTGTGTTTATGCGTCTCCGGCTGGCGACACAGACTGTTTATGCGTCTCCGGCTGGCCTGCGCCATGCTGTGAAAATATAACTGCCACTAATCAACGCCAGGGGCAGCAGCAGCGCACGTCCTCACTACTCAAAGGTTGAGAGACGAAATGATGGGGGGGGGGGGGAGAATTATAAGATCTGTTAGTAAAGTCTATATTGAAAATGATGATAGATAAAAAAGTCTGCATTGAGAATTATAGTTCGAAAAGTCTATATTAAGAATGATAACAGATCGAAGTCTTTCTTGATAATGACAAAAGATTGAAAAGGTCTCTACTGAGATTGACATGACTCATGTCTCTGTCTCAAGTCCGTGAAGTTACTAAGTTCAAGGTCTCATATTGCGCTGTATGACCCTTGTAGGTTTAGCGCTTCTTTCTGATTATAATAATAATAATGAAAGTCTCATATTACTGTCTATAATTCCAAGTCAATATGACAACATAAGGGGCACTTATTGCAGAAAAATTTTACCACCCAAATACGATAATAATGAACAGTTTGGGATGATTAAAATTTATCCTGATTTGAATGCTTTAATCTCCCCCAGGATGCGACCCACAACAGTCGATTAACATCCAGGTACCCAGTACCTACTTACTGCTAGGTGAACAGGAACAACAGGTGTAAGATGACTAACACCCTGGTACCTACTTACTGCTAGGTGAACAGGAACAACAGGTGTAAGATGACTAACACCCTGGTGCCTACTTACTGCTAGGTAAACAGGAACAACAGGTGTAAGATGACTAACACCCTGGTACCTACTTACTGCTAGGTGAACAGGAACAACAGGTGTAAGGTGACTAACACCCTGATACCTACTTACTGCTAGGTGAACAGGAACAACAGGTGTAAGGTGAGTAATACCCTGGTACCTACTTACTGCTAGGTGAACAGGAGCAGCAGGTGTAAGGTGACTAACACCCTGGTACCTACTTACTGCTTGATCAGGGACAGCAGGTGTAAGAAAGCATTTCAAACGTTTCCCCCCGTGCCGGGATGAGTCCCAGACCCCTCAGTGTGTGAACTGGGACGCTACCATCCGAGCTACGAGCATCAGTAGAAAACACTATAATTGACTACTAGTGATAGAGTTATATGATGCTGAATAAAAAATTCACAATATGTTTTAATTAATTTGTATGAGCCCTTATCGTGGCTTAATTGGTAGAGCCTTCAGCTCACATCCTACATAGCTGGGCTCGATCCCAGTATAAGTGGAAATAGCGGGCATGTTTCCTTACACTTATTATCCTGTTCCCCCTAGCAATAAGTACTTGGATGTTAGTCCAGAGTTGTGGGTCGCATCCTGGGGAAGATCAGTGGATGCCAGTAAGCAAGTAAGCCAGGCTTAGTGCAAGAAGTAATATATTCGTTTTTAATTAAGCCTCGTACACATTTTTTAAAAGTCTAGAATGGCTTTATATAACAAATTACCTAGAATTTAACCTAGGATAACTCAATAATGTACCCACAGTAACCTATATTCAGAATGAGGTGATAAAATTAGGTCGTTTATCGTATCCTTAATAACTGATATCGGTGAATTGTGCCAAGGATAAGTGTGCCCTTGGATGTGTTGACAAATAAACACTCCAAAAAAAGTGTGGCACCTCTCAATATTGTCTTCAATCAGGAATTACGAATTTATCATTTAACATCATCCCTATCGTGCTGTCATACCCATTTCTATTTCTGCGTTTTATTATTCCTGTTATATCGGATGCAAGCTAATGCTCATAAACACCTGATTATTGTTAATACATGTGAGATCTGCGCCATGTATAAAACATTTTAGGGAGTTTGGTGGAGTGAAAAAAAATGAAAATAAATGAAGATGTGGTGAGTTTTGTATGTTGAGCGGCGGAGGAGGTATATGTGCGAGGCAAACTAGCCAGGCTCGCTAGTTACCCAGTGACCATTGAAGTGGTTGTGCGGTGCTTCACTTTCTCTTTTTTTTTTCTATAGAAAACACTATATTGATACCATAAAATAGTTCAAACATAGGTCTACAACATGTCGCGACTGCCACTGAGTATTCAAGCAATAGAGTCCACTTGCTGTGTCAATGTTCCCACGCCTAAGAAGAAAATTGCGTAAGTGCTGTTTGGTGGTTCCTGATGTAACTTGTTTGTTCTGGACACTAAATGTCCACATGATAACTACATACCTCCGGTCCTACATTTGGTGCTAAATGCTAACATTTGGAATTTACAAATTATTGGGTTGTGAAGTATTGAGTCAGCTTCCTCGTATAACATCCTGGCCTCCCCTTTATTTTAGCATGTTTATGTCTTTTATTTTGTTCTTTCCCAGGATTATGAATATTGTCAGTAGTTTTAAGAACACTTAATTGCAACTAAACCAGTTTTTATTAGCAACTATACTGACATTTTTCCTTCCCGTTAGGAGCCACGTCATGAGAAATGTTGATGTTTTTTTTTATATTTTTTTGTAAAATTAGACGACTGCTCGGCTGATTTCAGTCATTAGGTGTAGTTCGAATTGTACAATATTAAGTTTAGTTTACAGTTAGAGATATTATTTTGTGCATATGGTAAATAACGTAACCTACGAGACCCACTTATCCTGACGTAACTTAACCTTACAACGCCATCGGTCGATTTGTGTTTTTGTTTACACTGGGTAGACTTGATACTGATTGTCTCAAATCTACTGCACATTCAAAATGTATTGCAAAATGTTTTCCATGAGAGATACTTATATTGTGGCATACAAAGGCTGCATGTGTTCCCTTATTAAGTTTGCCCGCAATGCTTGGCATATAAAAGGGCTTTTGGCATGTTCACCAAATTGTTACACTCCTTTCAACAAATGTATCATGCTAAAATGAACTTGTCATTGTCATTGTCATTGTCAAAATGTAAATAATCCTCGAGTTCGCAAGTTCCATTAAGTAGTTGTAAACTACAGCTATTATATTTGTATATAAATTTTCTATTTGATAAGTAGGTTTGAAAAAGGCCATAATTATGCATGGTTTAAACTACAATGAAAATTGACTGAAGGCTGGAGTTGTAGCTGTTAGGAAATTATAACAGTAGTAAGATGTTGCATATTTGTAGAATATGGATAAAGAATTAAAAGGGCTTTACACTTAAATTAAAATAAGTGCTTGGCATGTAATTTGCAAGTTTCCAATGGCAATTTGAGAATTAGATCAGGGGCAAAAGAAAAAAAAAATTTTTTTCTAAATATACATAAATTAGAAATAATACAGGGTTAATATTAACCAAAAAAAATTTGCAGTTTAATCGAGGAAAAATAACTGTATGCCTTAGGACATGAGGAGTATTACTGCTTCAATATAATTTAACATACAGATATAGCAATAGCAATAAGTACAGTAAGATAAGATTTGTTTGGATTTTTAACTCAGGAGGGGGAGGGGGGTTAGCTACCCAGGATAACCCAAGAAAGTTGGTGTCATTGAGGACTGTCTTATTTCCATTGGGGTCCTTCAATTTTGTACCCCCAGGATGCCACCCACAATAGTTGATTAACACCCAGGTACCTACTTCCTGCTTGGTGAACTGGGACAGCAGGTGTAAGGAAACATGCCCAACACTTCCAGTCATGGCAATATAAGGGCAATATAAACACAAATGCAGTATAATGTGATCCTTTATTGACTACGTTTCGCCCACACAGTGGGCTTTTTCAAGTCACAAACAGGACTACCTGGGGTGGAAGGAACGCGAGTATTTATAGTCCGGCTGAGGTCAGGTGAAGAATGCTGCATCTGATGATGTACCGAGTTGTTGGGAATCGAACCATGGACACTGTGAGGCTAGAGCATTACCAACCAAGTCATGGGACACCAGTAGTATTATGTTATGTATCAAGAGACTTAATGTCTGGGTTGTATTTTGTATAATTCATTATTGTGATCTTGCATGACTGAATTGATATTGAATACCAGTGATCTCGTTGAAGTTACCAAGTAACATATTGATCAGTTGAAGTCTCCAATATTTTTTAACACACCGCAGTCTTCCACTGAGATAGTTGACCTGACAAAGAGAAAAAAATTTTTCACTCATTCATTCAGTCAGTCTTGTCAGAATCATACTGACATCACAGTTCAGATGCTCCTCGAAACTGGACCCCTCCTTTAAAGTGCAGGCACTGTGCTTCCCACCTTCACCCACTAGCTAACTAGTTTCCTCTGAATTCCTTCATAAATGTTACCCTGCTCACACTCCAAGAGCAAAGGATTCTATGGATAAGTGAATTTTGGAAGACTGTGGCAAGCACTAACCTACCCTAACCTGAGCCAAAATTATGTTGTGGATAACTAGTGGTTATATTTTAATATCATTGATCCTACCGTCTGAAAAGCTCGCTGTCATCACTGATGACAGCGAGCTTTGCAAGTAAGTAAGTAAGTAAGTTTATTCAGGTATACACAAATACAGTTACATAGAATTATCATACATAGCAGCATATGTGTAGAGAACCTAGGATAACCCAAAAAAGTCAGACAGAGTGACTTATTTCCATTGGGGTCCTTTTACCTTATTATTATAATATAAAGGCTATAATATTTTCTTATTATTCTATAATGAAGATAACATCTTGTAATTATACTAAAAAGACTATCTACTACACAAGGGTCATTAGGACTATCTACAATACGAGGGTCATTGCTAGGAATAAGGTAAAATTTACACGTATGTTAGCTAAAAAATAGAAAATCATTCCCCTCCCTTTCTGTAGCTACATTCATCAGACACCTTTTGGCACTCTTCTTGAACTGGTTCATGCTATGACTGGCTTTGACATGTGCGGACAGTCTGTTCCATTCCTTTATTGCTGTACAATAAAAGGTGTTCGAAGCCTGGCCAATGACTGTGGGTACTACAAAGTTGTGCTCTCTCCCCCTAGTACTATGATTGCTTTGGCTCCCAACCTTGACAGAATTGACAGTAAGATATTCTGAGACATTGTTTGTGAGCAATTTTATAAACATGATTTAGCTTCAGTTGTTTTACTCTGTCTTCAACATTCAGCATCTCCAACTGCTGTAATTCATTCTGGCCTACATGCTCTCTTGGTCCCAGCCCCAGGATGAATCTTACAATTTTGTTCTGGGTGATTTGCAGTCTATCTTTCAGTTTTTTTGTCAAGGCAGAGTACCATGAAGAGCAAGCGTAATCTATATGGCATTGTATAAGAGCTAGACATAGAGTCCTGCGAGCCTCAGTAGGTAGACACTGTGTTGTCTATACAGGAACTTCAGTCTGGCATTCGCTTTCTTTACTACACTGTTCCCTATCAATTCTCCTGACATGCATGGGTCAAAGGGGATTCCCAGATATTTTACTGATGAAACCAAACTGATGGGCTCCCCATTACATTGGACATTAAAATTATTTACCATTCTCAGTTTATGTTTCGTGCCAAAGAGAATGGCTTCAGTTTTCCTGAGGTGTAATGATAGTTTGTTGTCTACTAACCATATGCTGCAGGACTCCACTTCCAGTGTTAAAACAAAACATTAGCTATATTTTGTGGGTCTTTACCTGACACCAACAGAGCACTGTCATATGCATACAGTAGGAGTTCGCACGTGACACTGATAGGCATGTCATTGACATAACATAAGAATAATAAAGGACCCAGAATACTACCTTGGGGAACTCCACATGCTATCGGCAGGGGTTCTGATTCCGTTTTGTTTGATTTTGACAATTTGTCTCCTGTTGCTAAGGTAGGACTTAAACCAGTCTACAGAACCTATACTGATAGCTTGAAGTTTCTTACATAATATATTGTGGTTGACAGGATTGAAGGCCTTTTGCAGGTCTAAGGTTACCATACCTATGAGGTTCCCCTTTGACATTTCAGTTCTCAGGTAATCCATCAGATTAATTAGGGAGGTGTCGGTTGAGTAAGATCTTCTACAGCCCGATTGATAGTTATGAAGAATGTTGTTGTCATTAAGGTACTTAACTACTTGAGAGTACACTGCCCTCTCTAGAACTTTGGATATTATACTGAGTATACTAACAGGCCTATAGTTGCTTACATCAGACCTACTATTTTTCTTGAAGATAGGAGTAACTCTGGCCTCCTTGAACCCATCCGGTACGGTATTAGTGATGATTGATAGATTTATGTATTATGTGAGCAATAGGGATTGACAGTTCAGAAGCACCATCTTTTAGGAACTTAGACGGGATGTTATCCGGGCCAGTGCTCTTAGTTGGGTTTAACCTGCTTAGTTCTTTTTGAATAAAGTCATGAGATACACCTACTAGTTGACAACTGTTTGGGGTTACCCCTTTATTGGTATATTATGTTTGAAACTTATCAGAGTCTGTGTTAAAGGTATTTGATGCAGCTGGTAGTTTACTTACTAGTGTTGATGCAACAGATGTGTTGTAGGAATTAAAGCAATTTGCCACCTTATTTGTTTCGTGGCATACCTCGTTATCGATAGTGAGTATGTACTATGTTAGACCTATCTACTGGCTTATGGCTATACCCCAACTGTTTTAGTTGTTGCCAGAGCTTTCTGGGGTTATGCTTATACTCTTCAATTTTTGAGCAATAGTGCTTTGCCTTTGCTCCTTTTATAAGTCTCTGCACTCTGTTCCTCACCCTTTGGAATTCATTTAGTGCTGCAATATCCTGTCTGTTTGCTTTAAATCTTTTTAGCAGCTGGTCTCTGAATTTCATATTATCTAATATCTCAGTAGTCATCCTAGGTTCGGTTCTTCGTTTAATCCTAACCTTTTTAACTGGTGCAATATTATCAAGGATGGTAGTGAACGTTGTTTTGAATTTTTCCCAGGCATCATTTACGTCCATGCAACTTGTTATCTCTGTCCAGTTACAATTGTGTAGCCTATTTACCAGTGTTTCTTTACTGTAGTTTCTAGTTGACCTCATTTTTATTGTCCTGTGTAGGCCTATCCTATCCCTAATGATTTTCCTAGTGCAGTAAATGATGAAATGATCACTAATGCCTGTGGTAATGACGCCTGACTGACTAATGTTCTCAGAACGGTTACAAAGTATGTGGTCAATTAGGGTGGCTGAGAACTGTGTGATCTGGGTTGGTGTATTA